ATGTAAGAGGATACAAACAAATGACAATCTGTTGAAAAATACCTCCCAGGTTTTATTATGCCTAAAATTCTCATCCTTAGTCCTAGTGATGGAGAGCTTTGGAAAAGTCTTCACTGATCATCCAACTGTCAAATCCAAAGGTCTTTGGTTAAACCAAAGAGAACAAAATATTAACAGTGGTTATTTCCACATAGGGAAAGTATAAGCAATTTTCTTCTGTTTTTATAGATTTCATATTAGCAAAAACACTAGTACAAATTTTTAAGACCATTTATTGGATCTGATTCTTCTCATTTCTTGCCAATGACCAACAGGTTGATCATTCCACCTCCTAACCTATCCACTAATTTGCCTCTCTCATACTAACTGTTTTTTCTTTGTCTCCTTTACCCATTTCTCTCCTTTCACCCACCTGCTAATTATGCACAATCCCCAAGGCTCAATCTCAGGTCCACTACTCTTTTCTCTTAAGTACCACAGCACCAGCCTTAATTTCGCTAACAAATTCTAGTCATATGTCCCACTGTAGGCTATCAATTTTCACTTGCCCATCCCACGGCCACCGCAAACTCAACATATCTACAATATAGGCTCAACTGTCTACATCCCCTCTACCAGCTACTAATACTGCCATAACTATTTTTGTTACTAACTGCCATTAATCAAATGGCAGTTTCTTTGTCATTAACTGAGTAACTTTGGACACATTTTAAGTCTCTCTGGTCTGAGTCCTAATATACAAAGTATATAGACTGACTTAGATGTTCTAAGCTGTCTTGGAGTTCCAACACTCTTTGATTTCCTCTGTCACTGAAGAGCAAACCTTCAAGGTAAGGTAATCTTTAATCACTCTTCTCCCGTCCATTCTCCCTTTTTATTCAATCCATAATAATGTCTTGTGACATCTCTGCAATCTGACTTATTTCTACTAAGTCCAAGTCCTCATTACTTCAGGGCTCAATTATTTTCCTACCTCTCTCTACCACTTCTCTTTCCAATTCATGTGAGATCTAGCACTGGTGCTGCTTTGATTTTCCTAAAATATTTATTTCAGCAAACTCTTTCTCAATTCAAAACTTTTAAAGCTTCTCCGTATCTACAGGTCAAAGTACATTCTTCTCATCCTAGCATTTAAAGACATCCATAATCAAATTCCAACTACATTTTTAACACAATTTCTTACTACTCTTTCACACAAACCTTCATTTCAGTCAAGTTGTTTATGTACTGCTCTCTGAACATATCATACATATATACATATTTTGCCTTTGCTTACCCCCTCTACCAGTTCCTTCCTATTATACAAAATCTCTGCTCAACTCGAAGTGGTCTCAAATATCTGTAACTTTTATTATTTAGCTTATCTGCCCAATTATACTGTAAGTCCTTAGGGAAAGGAACCTCTTTTGTATTTCTTTGTTTCTCTTTTGGATACAGCCAAGTACCTTTTACATTGCAAATATTAACAAATATTTGTTTGGTGACTACAGTTCCTTATCACACAATCAACATGTATTATTTCTTGAATGCTGCCCACGTGCTCTCCATTGTGTGTGTGTGTGTTTTTTTTTTTTTTTAATCTAAGGTACTGTTCCTCAAAGAATACACAATCAACTTGAAAAGATATGGCTAACACTAGGGAAATAACTATCATAAACAACTAAAGCATGGCATATAATTAAACCATGTGAAGATGTTCTAAGACTAAAGAGCCACAGAAATAGAGGAAAAAAAGAGGGATGGAGAACATAAGCAAAAATTAAAGGATAGAAGAAACATATAGCTTGTTACTAGAAAGTGTGGAAATCAGCTTATAAGCTGAAGGATTAGAGATCCTTAGACAAAAGACTAAATAAATAGGGCAGGGATTGATAATAGACTATCTTAAAAGACAGGAAAATTTAATAAGTAGAAAATGGTAAGCCACTGAAGATTTTGGGGCAAGGGAATACTATAATAAGGAGTATTAGAGTGGAATCTCTATTGAGGATAAACGAAAGAGACACTGAATTCTCATAAGTTCAAATGACTTTCAATATTCGAGGCTCAGGAAATGTGTCCTGGGATTCACACAGTAAAGGAGGGAAAGCAGAGATACGAGAAAGAAAGGAAATACGGACATTTTGAATGGGAATAAGACGTAAATGAAAAAAGTAGTTTAAAGATGATGCCTAATTTAAAGCCTACATGATTAGAAGAAAATTAAGAGGTAGAAAATGGTAACTTTCACTTTGGGCATTCTGAGTTTAAGGAGATGAACAGAAATAGAAGCAGAAGACCAGTACAGGAAAAATCAGGAAGTGACTAGTACAACAAGTTAGCAATAGGATTAGTTTTAAAATCAAAGAACCGGGCAGAAGTTATAAACATATTACACAGGAGATGAAATATATTAAGCCATGATCAGCTGATACTAGCTTTATATCAATAATTTTATCAGAAAAGCAAACTAAAAGCTAAGGCAGAGGTTTCCAAACCCATTCAGGGAGCCCTGAGTCTTAGCAAATTTTTCATGACACCTCTAGGCCAAAAGAAATAGGTTCGAACAACTTACTTAGTAGTTATGTCCTTACAACTTAGTGTCTCTTGAGCACTGTAGAACTTATCAAACCTTAGAATCAAATTGGACAATACCACACAGTCATTTCCTGTTCTACATTCATTTTCATGTACTAGTTGCTTTTTATCAGAGCAACCTCTGAAAATACATCTTTACAAAGACATGACACTGTGGAAACGGATGTAGGTAGCTAATGTTGAAACCATGAACTACCTCAAAACAAAAGTTCAAGCCTAAGGCGCTCTGGGCACCTTGGCACACAGTTTGGGAAACTGGTAGCTAAGAGGAGGGGTCTAAAAGGGAGTGGGGAAGGGTGAGAAATGTAATGGGGGAGGAGCAAAAGAAAGTTCTTAGCACAGTTAACCACAAGGGGGCAGCACAATAATTGCTAGGGGCAACACAATGGGGGTTTAAGCAGAGAGACAAAAGTCAAACCTTTCCATACAAAGGCTACAATACCCCCTCACCAGCTTAAGACCTTAAAGTCCTTTATCTCTTTATACTAGAAAGGAAGAAACAAGAAACACTAGTTACTGGCAGATCACCTTATGCAGTCATTCTGGCCTTCTCTGAATCTCCTTTGCCTCCCAGCCACGATAGTAGCCAAGACTTTTATGAGAGCCAAGCAATTTACCACTTGGCATGTGTCTTACCCAGTTCTCACAACAATCTGATAAGAAAGTGCAGCTAAAAGAGTAATACAACTCTTTTTTTCTTTCTTTCTTTTTCTTTTAGACAGAGTCTCACTCTGTTGCCCAGGCTGGAGTGCAGTGGTGCCATCTCGGCTCACTGCAACCACCAACTCTCAGGTTCAAGCAATTCTCCTGTCTCAGCCCCCCGAGCAGCTGGGATTACAGGTGTGCACCATCACGCCTGGCTAATTTTTGTATTTTTAGTAGAGATGGGCTTTCACCATGTTGGCCAGGCTGGTCTCGAGCTCCCGACCTCAAGTGATCCTCCTTCCTCAGCCTCCCAAAGTGCTGGGATTACAGGCGTGAGCCACCATGCCCAGCCGCAAATAATACAACTCTTAAGTGGCAAGAACACCAGGATTCAAATCCAGATCTCACTCCAAAGCCAATGCACTTTTCTATTCTGCCTCAAAAGCATCCCACCTTTCAGCAATAGCCAGGTGAAGCAAAGAAACAATGTCATATTCTTTTCCCGTATCTGAGACACCTGTCTCAAATCACCAAAGGCACACACACACAAAAACCCCTAATGAGTCCCTAAAACATGCTATAAATTGCAAATACAGGATATTCAGTCAGAGCAAAAACAAGCATGGTGTGCTCTTCTAGCCAGCAAGTACTGCAGTTTTCCTATTCAGGTAAATATATGTACTATTAAGGCAAGTGCCGGATACATCCAATCTGTACATACATTACACACCAACAGACAAATGCATGTACAAGCAAATAATTCTCACACTTAAAGTGGTATGCGGTGAGGCGGATGGGGGAAGGGAGGCCAAAAATTGATTATTCATCTTCAAATGTTCTGGGTGTTATATCAAAATACAGGTTGAACATCCCTAATCTGAAAAGCTCCAAAATCTGAAACATTTTGAGCACCAACATGATGCCACAAGGGGAAAATTCCCTGCATAAGTACTTAATACAAACTTTGTTTCATGCACAGATGTAAAAATATTGCAAATGACTTAGTGGCTGTGTGAATAAGGTGTATATGAAACATGAATTTCGTATTTACAGTTGGGTCCCATCCTTGACATAGCTCATTTTGTATATGCAAACATTCCAAAATTAAAAAAAAAAAAAAATCCAAAACACTTCTGGTCCCAAGCATTCTGGAGAAGGGATACAAAATATTTATTTGCAGTAGCCCAACTCACTGTAAAAACTTATTATGAAACCAAGAGCAATCATCTCCCTTATTCCCACTTCTAGTTTCCTTCTCCATACTAAGCCGCTACTATCCTTTCATTCAGAGAAATGGAGTTTCTCCTGACAGATTAGTATTTACCGGAAAACAAACTGGGTAAATTCAACCGACACAACAAGCTTAGGCAGATAAAACCATCACGAAGCATTCAGTGTGGTAGCAGAAACCCCAGCAAGAATAGCTAACGTGTTCTCACAAAAGCTATCTCTTATTGGTTGGAAATATTCCTCTTTGAAGGATTAAGAACCTCTGGCTGTTTAAGAAGAAAGGGTAATGGACAACGTTTTACATTTCTCTGCAAAGTCACGTTATGTGTAAAGCCAACAAAAAAATGTTTCTTAAAGGATCCAAGACGAACAAAACACCCCAAAATTACTCTCGCATATCAACATTAAAAGTTTAGCACTGACATTTTCAGAGTAAGCAAAAATGAGCCCTGCCTGTCTTCACACGCTTCCAGCCTTCCTACGCACGCACTCCCAGCTCGCGACACCTTCTTCGCCTTTACTGCAGCGATAGAAGACAGCACACCCACCGTCGCGGGAGGAGGAGGAAGAGCCTCTTTTTCTGCAGAAGAGAAACAGCTCACATCTTGTTCCTGTTGCCTTCTTCTGAAACCTAAAAAAAAAACAAAAAAGCAGCAGTTACTACTACCACATAAGTCCAGGAGAAACAGATGCTTTCTCTAGGCTGTTTAAGTGTCTAGAAAATTTTAAAAAGGAATAAGGAGGTGGGGGGTGCGGGAATTATAAGACACAAATGGAAGCAAATATCACTAGCAAGACTCGTTCTAGGTGTCGTCTTAAAGAGGAAGATTTTTCTGGCTCAGAAGTTTGCTGCCACTAGCAGGGGGGAGGCGGGATCAGAAGGTAAGAAGGGGGTGGAGAGACAACTGCTGCCCCCCACCCAGAAGCCAGGCAGAGATAACACCCACCGGTTACACAGATGGGGCGACCAGAGTGCGCCCTTGAGCCCGCAGGGGCGGCTCCTACCCGGCGGGCCAAGGTCTGCGAAGCCCCGAGGCGGGCACGGCTCTGAGCGACCTCCAGGCTGGGCCCTCGGGGGCCCTCCAGGGTGGGCTCAGCTCCCACTCACATCCCTCCGCGGCGAGGACCAGGCCTCTCCCTGAGCCGCGGCAGCCCTCAGCCCCGACGCGCGCCGCAAGCCCGGGCCGAGGGGCCCGAGTGGCCGAGAGGCCGAAGTGACGACGAGAACACCCGAGCGAGCCGAGAGCCGGCCCAGCCTGTCAGCGCCGAGGGAGGCCGTTAGAGGCGTCCGCTGCTGCCCCCTTCTGCTCCTCTTCCTCTCTCCTTCCTGCAGCCCCACACCACTCCCACTTCGGGCAGCCGGGAAGCCCGTCACAGTTGTCTCCACCCTCTCCTGGGCCAAACCGTCTTCTCAACGCCGCGGGCGACACTGACTTGGTCGCCCTATTAGCTTCGAACTCAGCCTCCAGGTTGGCCTGCAGTCTCCCCGACTGGCAGGAGACCGGGCCGGATAGACGCTGGGGGAGAGCCGGACGCGTGTTCCGCAGTGCGCGTGCGCCCCTCGGTGCTGGCCGCGGGACCTGCGGGCGCGGGCCACGCAGGGCGGCGGCTTCTCGGGAAGCCGGCGGGCGCGCGTGGAGATTCCTGGGACTGCCCCTGGGTGTGAGCGCGCAACGAAGTTAGGGCGGCGGCGCCGCCTCGCAAAACACTGGTGCCTGGCTGGAGCTAGGTGCCAGCGCTGGGCCCGGGCTTCACTAGATGGGCGGGTGTGTGTGTGTGGCCGCCGCCCGCAAGGGAAGCGGCCGGGAGTGAGTCAGCCTGACTGGCGCCCGCCCCTCCAGAACACAGCCCGCACCGGAGGAGGCCGGGCTGCCTCCGCACGGAGACTCCCCTCCCGCACACTTGTCCGCTTTCTGCTTTTCCTTCCACTTCCCGGGTACAGCAGACCTGTACTTCCCCAGTCCAGGCTGCTAGGCGGAGGGGAAGTGGCGCCGGGGGCCGGGGACAACAAGCTTACACGCGCTGTTTCGTGGCAATGCGACCTCCAGCGCCTGACTCCGATCAGGCACCTGGCTGGAAAGGGGTGAAGGTGGGATGAAGTGCCCAGCTGTCTGCGGGTTGGCGACAAGGCCTAGCGAATGTTTCTGCTAGAGGAGAAATAACTTTACCGGCGTAGCGTGGTGTAGCCCAGGAGAGGGTGGAGACAATGGCTGTGACGGGCTTCCCGGCTGCCAAAGGACCTTATTCATTTATTCAGATATTTACCGAGTGTCTACTAGGTGCCAGGCTGTAAGTCCCCAAAGATACTAAGTGAACACTACCCCACACACTCCTTGCCCTACTGGATTGTATTCTGATGGAAGCGACAAAATAACAAACAACGCTTTAAATGCATAATGTGCGGGGTGTGTGTAATTGCCACTAAGAAAATGCGTAATTTTCTGCTGCCATATACATAATAACAAAGAAAAGGAGTAGAAAGTGAAGCGGGGCTGTGCTGTTTCATGGTGGCCAGGAATGATTTCCTAGAATAAATGACATTTGAGCAGAGATCTAAAGGATGAGAATGAACCAGTCCCATGACTATCTGGGAAAACAATTTCAGGCAGAGGGACTCCTGAAAGCAAAGACCTTGAGAAGGGAATGTGTTTGGCAGGTTCAAGGATCAGGAAAGAGATCACTGTGGCTGGAGGACACTGAAGGAGGGGGCAGTGGTAAGAAGTGAGGCCAAAGAAGTAGCCTGGCAACAGATCGTGTAGGGCTTTTTTCAAGTATTAGCCCTCTTTCTGTCAACCTAAATGAAGTGACGCATTCATAGCTCCTGTTTCCCCATACACAAGTGATGCTGCTATTCAGGTCTGTCTTGTACTTACTGGTTTCTTTAAACCTCACCAAAGCAACTCCTGCATTTCTTCTTACATAAGACCCATTGCAAAAGGTCTTTAAGCAAATGATAGCAGCATAGGAAATGACTTGAATTCACCCTGACTCTTTTAAAGTAAATAATGAACTAGAGCTGTGTAAGAGGGAGGGATTTACAGGAAAATTGCATTCCTACGGCAACTGCTTCATAGGCAATATATGGGCAAAGTTAATTAGAATTTCTAATTATTAATTGTGACTCAGTGGCTTAGAATATCAAGGCTGCAATTACAAACAAAGACTACCAAAAGAGTTCTTTTTATTTTCCTGCAAACAAAAACTGTTACTGGGGTAAAAGCTAGAACACAGACCCACACAAGGAAGGAGAGCTGAAGATGACCTTAATGTCATGGTTAAATGAAAAGCATCAGAACTGTAGAAATGGAAATGTGATCTTTTGTGAGGGGAAAAAAATGCTTGTTTTAGAACTCTGAAACAGTATTATTTCCATTATAAGTGATGTTTCTATATTTTGCAGTGATATGCTTATGTAACTAGGCATGGTATCTGTTACTATCCACAGCCTGTTTGCAGGGAGAAGCCATTTAGAATTGGTGAATATTGAGGATATTTTTGTGGGGGAGCAGAGTATTTTCTTAATATTACAGATGTGGGTATGGAAGACAAGGTGGACAAGGGGTATATTATTCATAAGCCTATAGAATTGAGAAATCTTCTGTCTACCCACAGAGAAAGATGAAGCAACTTGCCTTCTGTCATTCAGAAAGTGAAAGCCTCCCTCATCACTAAGACATGATTTTAAGTCAATGCTACCCTGGAATGTTGAGCTTTTTTCACTCTGGGTATTAACAGAACTTTTGAGCTCTTTATGTGATTCCTGGTAGTGGCATCACTAGAAATTTGCTCCTCAAGGCAAACATTTCAGGAAATTTCCCCTATTCTTTGATAATGATGGAAAGAATTCCAAGGAATTTGACCAAGTCTTTCAGAACATTCACACAATATGAAGAAACAAGAAATATGAGCTGTAAGGTAACACATTTAGATTCAAAACTTTGTGGCAAGATCCAATGAGAAAAATTAACAGCTAGCTGTTGACTATGGGGCTGTGTGTAGTGTCTTGAGCTTTTGTCTTTCCAGTGTTGGCCAGCATGGCAGCGGTGATTCTTGACTGCTATGCCCAAACCCGCCCCCAACCACAACGAGACTGCCTCAGTAAGTGTGAGATGGCACATTGGCTTCTATATCTTTTTAACATTTTTAGGTGGTTTGACATAAAGCCACAGTTGAAAATCCATGGCCAAGAGTTTAAGAACTTACGCTTTAGAGTCCAGACCACCCAGGTTTCTTTCAATCACAGCTTTTGCCAGGAAAGTTTATTTAGATTTTCTAAGCCTCTGTTTCCTCATCAGTAAAATGAGGATAATAATCTCCCCTGTAGAGAGATTTTGAAGATTAGGTGAAAAAGTATTTTAAAACCCTTAGCACAGTTATCAAATGCCTATTATATCTGTGGCAGGACCAATTTACAGATATAACCAAGCTGGGAGGTGTAAGAAATTTGTTTAATTTTATTAGGAAGATTGAAGTATGTGTCACAGTTTATTGTACTACACAGGAAAGTGTGGGCTGGTAGGATAAGGGCTGAGTTGTAATAGAGATGAAGATCTCCATCTGAATTTTAAAAAATAGAACTATATCATTAAATAATGAGATTGTGAAAACATATTCTTAAGGGGGGACATAAATTGAGCATACAAAAAAAAGATGCAGGAAAGTCCTTGGAAAGGGAAACAGGCTCAAAACCAAAGGGCTGGGGAGAGGCCAGGAGTTAGTTTCTTTCCAAAACAGGGAAGGTGTACTTTTCTGAAGGCAGAAAGGAATAAACTATGGAGAGAGGCTTATTTATTCCAAATGTAGGATTATAAACCAAAAGACAAAGGCAAGGGGTATTAATCAAGTAGACAGACATGCAAGCAATGTTTTTTACTACAAATCATCCAGATATTTTAGTACCATTTATTCCAAAATTTGGTTGACTATGGCAAAGGAATTTTCCAAAACCTCCTTTGTACTTCAGCGTATCCTTGTCTCTTACCCTTCCTTTCAATCACAAAAAGGAAAGGGAAAAAAAAAAAAAAACTATATTCCTAGTGAACAGATCCCTCATTCCCTTGAGATAACTGGATGTATTAAACTTTGGTGCTTGAAAACCAAAACAGTTTTCCCTTTGTAAGCCAAGAATTAATAACCTCTTTCAAGTGAGGATAATTATTTGGCAAAATATGTAAAATGTCAATTATAACTATGCCCTACTTTAAAAAAATAAAACCGGTAGACATATAGTTGCCTATTCACTAAAAACATTTTTTGTGTGTGTGAAAGGATTTATACCAACATTCACTCTTAAAAACAAAATTTCGGCCAGGCGCAGTGGCTCACGCCTGTAATCCCAGCACTTTGGGAGGCTGAGGCAGGCGGATCACAAGGTCAGGAGATCGAGACCATCCTGGCTAACATGGTGAAACCCTGTCTCTACTAAAAATACAAAAAAATTAGCCAGGCATGGTGGCATGTGCCTGTAGTCCCAGATACTCAGGAGGCTGCAGCAGGAGATTCACTTGAACCTGGGAGGCGGAGGTTGCAGTGAGCTGAGATCACACTACTGCACTCCAGCCTGGGCAACAGAGCAAGACTCCATCTCCAAAAAAATTAAAAAAAAAAAAACCCTAGCATAATTGTTAGTTTACAGAGACTCAGAGAGTTAATTCCTGAGTCCTAATTTAGATTAAGGATTCTGTCCTCTTTGCTGAGAACGGTCCTCTTCACCCAGAGTAGCCAGCCTCTGGCACCTATGTTCTAGTTTGTGACCCTGCTTCCCACACCCCTTGACTGGACCAAGCTGAGCCATCAGAGTCTCGCTCCTGGGGAATTTGGAGTTGGGATTCAAAAACAGCAAATCAGACTTTTCTGTTCACTTGAAATGAGGTTACCCATGCTGTAAAGTTAATGCTGCCACTATGAGGTTACCATCTTCATTCTTGCACAGAAAGCTGATTTGCTGTAGGAGAAAAGAATGCCACAGAAGAAAAGAGAGAGAGTGTGTGCAAACTATGGGTCCCCATAGCTTTTCAGTTCCCTCTTCCTTATAAGGCCCAGCAAAACTTCCTGCATTTGCTATCTTGAAAATACTTCCTTATGACAAATTTCTCCTTTTGACTTAAGCTAGATCTAGTAGCGTCAGCATACTGGCAAATGAAATAACCAAGAGTAAGAGAGACATCATAGAAAGCTGATGAGAAGATAAAAACACTCTGTCAAATTACAACAGGGAAAATGTATGTTGTTTTTTTTTAAAAAAAAAAAAAAAGTATGATTCACCCACAAAGTGTGGAAGTCTATTTTCAATCATAAAGCCAAGCAGAACTATACAAGTCTGAGTCACAATCTGAGATATTATGTATAACCCATAGGTTAGCAGAAGATAAGCTCTCTTTGATTATGATGGATATTTACTACAGTGAAATTTTTCCCACCCACACCTCCTACAACCAGCACACTTTTCACCCCTGTTCTGTTTTCTTTTCTCACTTGCTTCACTCTAATTTCCCTGTAACTTAACACTTTTGTCAATTTTCTGGGCTGTGGCTATAGGAATTGCTGTGTTCATTCCACTCTAGCTATGCTATTAACCAAAGGAAAATCTGATTTGATGTTAAAGTATTATACTGATGTGGTGGAATATTGT